GGGGGGGGGGGGGGGGGGGCCGGGGGGGGGGGGAAAAGGGTGCGCCCCCCCGCCCCCCCCCCCCCCCCCCCCTTTAAAATAATCCTGGAACCGCCCCTGAATTCTATACAAGATTTCTTCACGGTACATTATGAGTGGGCATTTATCCTTTTATCTAAATTCCATTCACTTCTGTTTTGTTTAATTTCTAGTTATATGCATCAGTATTTATATGCATCAGTGGTATTATTATTATTATTATTATTATTATTATTATATAATGAAAAACTGCCCTATCGGTGATGGGGGAGGGGGGCGAGAAGGCAATATACTTGACTATAGCTATAGGAATCTTGATAGAAAAAGTAGTTAAATGGCTAACATACCGTGCATAGATACTTCTCTAGCCCTGGCCAGGTCCATCTTATTTCCAACTAGAATGATGGGACAGGTGTTATTTTCCTCGTCCCGTAATCGTTGTAGCTGGTCGCAGGCTTTTCGAAATGACCTTTTATCGGCTATGGAGTACACCAACACGTACGCGGTGGCCTCGTCCTCGTAACTGGCAATCTAGAATTATGAATCTGTCATTAGAAAAGAAACATCGAATTAAAAACTAAATGGTTACAAAAATTGCGTTTTAATCTAGGGTTAGCTTCAGCTGCTGCGTCGTTGGAAATGGCAATCTGAAACTGTAATTTGAAACCAAACATCAAAGTACCTGTAGAAACGAAATGTTAAAGAAAAGTGACATTTAAATCGTGTGTTAACATATAAGCTGTAACATGATCGAAACTTGCAATCAGGAATCATGAACCTAAAATTAGATACTATGGATTACAAAAAAACCATTTGGAAGCTTGTATCAACCTAAGCCGCACACCTTCATCGTCTCAGCTGACATTTTAAAAGTCATAACATAAAACCAACCACAGCAGCGGACCACAATTTTTTTATAGAATTTTAAACGAAAATCAATGAAGTGACAGTGTAACCATACCACAGGAAACAAATACACTATTTAAAAAACAGAGTAATAAAGGTTCACATAACGCTATAGTGAACTACAAGTGTAAATGAATTGTACAAAAAACGGATATTTAAACTAATTGAGTCCTTGTAATGATTCTTAGTAAAGACAGGCGGTTTCTGTAGATAGAACTCATTATACATATGCATAAACCCGATCGCTCTTGGTATGAATTTCATTTCAGTGATTTCGTTCCGTCGGTCGTATTATATTATGGCCCAGATGCATTAATGAAAACCAGAAACTTATATTGATATACTGAAAGTATACCATATGCCATAGACAACTAATTTTCGAGCACAGGTATATAAAAATGGTTTGTATTCGAATATTTGACAAATTGTACGAACAGATTTCACCACTGTTTTTAACTGATCCCTTTGGAGTGAAATTTTGTTGTCATGTTCAGATGATCCATAATGTGACAGCTGTGTATAAATGACAATAATTTTATGTAACATTTGTTACCACATCATAATTTGCTTGATATCCATGTAGTGCCCGTTGCCAAACGCTAAACGAAAAATATATGCGCTTATCATTTCCTCTCCAAGTCGTGCTAAACGGCTTGGAACCTGATTAACATTTTATCGTCAGTTGTATGTCATCTGGTGTTATTATCTGAGACAAAATTCACGCTGTACATTGAATCATCCATGTATAAGTGTCCCCCATTACTCTTGGATATTTGCAATTTTGTTACGTCACGCACTGACTTTAACGTCAGTTGACTTGGATAACCACCAGGATAAAGAGTGTGGACCTAAATATAGTACACGCCCCCCCCCCCCCCCCCCCCCACAAAGAAAAAAAAACGGATAACCAATACAAAATTTGATAATATCGCAAAACCCAAAACGCAAAATAAAAGTAACTTAACAATTATGACGCAACTCGGACCTTCCCCCTTGGTTTCTTTAACTGTGGCTTTGAAATATTCCTAATCAGTCTTTTGATGACCATAAAGAAAATCAATTTATTTGAATATAGCTATACTTCATGAAAATCGCTTTCTACACTCTTAACCCCATCAGCAAATCAGTTGTTAGAGATATAATACGTCATAAGACTGTGTCACCTATCATGGATACCCGTCCAGTGAGTCTCTTAGGCCCGTCTATTCGTAAGCAGTTGCAGTAATATGGGTCCAATTAGTAAGATGTCAACGTCAGATAGGGTAAGATAGGGTTTTATTCTATAATAGCCATATTTTTCTTTCTGCTATGTCAGCCTTTGTCTTTTGTTTTTATTTCGTGAGAGTGATACAGGAAACTAAAAGCAGACGCCATAGACATAACCCCATCAAAGTTTCGTCTTTCGCCAAAGATGCACTGGGTAATCATTCCCATAGTACCACATGACCTCAACCTCCCACCCCCACCCCCAATACTCACCAAAGTATTCAGTCTCCCATTACAACACCAAGCATCTAGCTTCTTAAAATTCACCTCATTTACTGTGTATCTTCAAGTTTTAGCCCAATTATTTTCTCTGCCAAGATTATATTAGCATCACTATCTCTAGCTTTGAAAAAAACCCTCATTAGACGGCTTTAAATATATAATTTAACGCAGTGTAGGTCTCATGTTTTTCAATTATCAGAACGAAGGCTGAACTTAGTTGAACCCCTTTCTTTGTAATCTGGACACGACAATGCAAAACACACCTGCAACAATAACTAGTGTCGAAAGAATGCAGTGATGTGAATACCTAGATCAGTGTTGAGTATGAAATGATCAAGAATTCAGATATATGAAATTCACAATACCTTGCAAAGCTGCGCTGCGCTGTCAAGTCATTTAGCAATGAATACAAATTTGAACGGCCTTGTCGATAGATATTGTTTAAATTGACGTGGACATAACGGTCGCTTGGCTGATCCCCCTCCCCCCCTCCCCACCTTCCCGATTCTAATGCACTCATCATTTGAACCCTAATTACCATGGCATTTTACAAATGGTTCTTCGTACTGGTTTGAATAGATATGAAGCATCTTCCTCGACAGCTTGATATGCATTTCGCGTGCAAAAGAAACCATGACATTTCAGGCAAAATAGATTATGGAACAAAATTGCACAAAGTACACCATATTTAGAAGTTGAAGGGCAATTTTGTTAAAACTGCACTGCGAGACGTCGAACCCTCGGGATCTATTAAAAAATCTGTCTTTTCTTTAAGGGAATGGTTCCTTTATTGCATGCCTTGTTCACGATAGAAGAGCAATGCTCCGTTACCAAAGCACTGCGTTCCCCAAACTATCTAAACAATTAGGGTCAATTTTTTGCAAGTTGAACTGAACCAAAAAAAAAAAAAAGCTCGGAATTTTTTAGAATGACAATTTACTGGGTAACAAAAACCTGGACAAATGTATCGGTGAATATATAACCCTCACCACTTATTGAGCTCGTTTCTTACTAGGCAGGTCAAATATTCAAGACCTCAGAGCATAATAATCACGTATACACCTCACTACTTTAAACGCACTTAAAGCCTTAAAAAGGTAGACCTTTGTAAAGAAAAATGTTTTTTCCTGGAAATAAAAAAATTATTATCATTATCATTATTATTATTATTATTATTATTATTATTATTATTATTATTAACGTACATCACTCATTGTGTGTCTCTAAAGCAGATTAATTCAGTACAGGTCACTTGGTACGCTGGCCCTTACTCCCCTGTTTTATAGATTCACAATACAAAAAAACGTCTCCAGGGAATCTATCGATAACTTGCTGGTGAATTTGGATAGTTTCTATTCACTGAGACTAATACTTATGCTTATCACGTTCCAAATTGAGGCAAATTGGGTTAATGGATGGAAATGTAAGATTAAAACAAATACAATCACGAATAAAAAGGTAGATCGAGTGGTCTGATAGAATCGCCCTCGAAAACTATTCGATTAATGTTTTCTGTCTTAAAATTTTAATAATCTTTATCTCTAGAGCACTCTCGACGCCATGTTTTATAAACAACCAGTGCGCGTTGTCGATGGGGAGGGACACACGTTGCGCCTTAAAATTCTGAAACTCTTTGTTGGCCAATGAATGTAAGCGTCTGGTGGCGCCAGTTTAGAAGCATGCAGCGCGCTTTAGACTTTATCTATAAAGTTCAAACTTAAAATTTTGAACCTTGTCACTTGTCACCGTTTTCCAGCTCTAAATATCTAATTTCTACCGCAATTTATGTAGAGACACTAATTCTTTTTTTTTCGACCCTACTAGGTCCTCTTTTATACAGACCCTGATTAAAGTCTGCATAGAGTGCCTGCACCCCCGCCTGGAGCGATATTCTGATCCATAAACACAGAGTTGTGCTATGTGAATGCTGTTCTCCTTTGAAAAGCAAATGTCTCCGGATATATTTCAACATGTTTTTTAACCAGACCGTTATCTTTTTCATTGCATTCTGAGTAAAAATATGTGCTTTCCGTGGTTGTACATGATAGGTAATGTGATAGACAGGTGTATAAACATCACAAGTAATTAGGTTTAAAGGTAGTGGTACACCATATTAGTAATCTACGTGCCCATATGGCACTGAACTCAAATATGTTACTGATAAAAAAAGCCCACTGGCATGTGTGTGTGTGTGTATGTGTTGGAAGAGTACATATTGTATATACTGCATGTATGTATTAGCCTCTACCCTTGCAAATTAAAAAAAAACACCAAAACTCAATCTTTCATAACGCATTGTTTAAAGTTCTCAGCCATGCTATTCAATTACTTGGCCGAAGATGTAACAAAATCTTGCCAAAGTCAGTTTGTGCAAAGGAGAGATAAACAGAAAATGTGCTTTGCCCTGAGATTGCAGGAAGTGCAGGCGCCAAATACAGAACCAATCTGGACCTTCCAAAATTCCACTTATTGCAAAAATCCATGCTATTGATTAAGGATTAAAGAAAAGCGCTTTTGATATGGTTGAGTGCTACAAACCCTTCCACTTTGGTAATTGTATTGACGTGATGAACGGCGTTTCCCTTTTTCAAGGTAGATCTTTTAGCGTTATATCATGTTAACGGTAGCACCCATTAATAATACTGCACATACACCACTTTTATGGTGGTTTCCACACGGCATACGTCTCTTTAGTTCGTGTTCCCGCAGTCACTACAGCCATGAGTTATCGATATAAAACTAAAAAAACCAGCCCCCTTCATTTCCTCATGGAGCACGTAATATAGCAGAAAGAAACAACTTGGATTTTTATTCAAAACGTAAATTGTACTATGGTTCTTAATCTATTGCTATCCATGATTAAATTGCGGGACAGTTCTTATTTTTTAAATCAGCTTGCAAATCGACGAAGTGAAAACCCCGTACACGTGATACAGGTGGATGACCAAGGAAAAAAATCTCAAAATTAAGGGAAGTATCCAACGGGGAAACAGCACGGGTGAGACAGGCATATCGAATCTTAAAAAATGTTGGCACGTCCGAAATATCTGGAATCAGTTTACCTGGACGTATCTTGAGGACTTAACACACTTGTTTGCGCTTATAAATCATCCTGACGCTAACTGCTAATAATAAAT